GAATTCTGAAGAAGGGTCTAGGCCCGAAACGTCAGCTTTCCTGCTCCTCTGATGCTGCTTGGCCTGCTGTGTTCATCCAGCTCTACACCTTGTTATCTCAGATTCTCCAGCATCTGCAGTTCCATTTATCTCCTCTTACGCACACTGTTTGCCTTGCCGTTGGCTGCCATGTGTTCAGCTTTCCAGGCTGTAAGGCTCTGACGTTTCCCTGCTAAAACTGTCTGCTCTTCTCGGACTGTAACCTCCCCCCTCCGGTGATCGAAAGTACCCTCAACTGCATCTCTGGCGTTTCCAGCACCTCTGCCCTCACATCCTCTCCCCCCCAACAAAAATAAAGATAGAATCCTCCTGGTCCTTTCATATCACCCCACTGACCTCCGCATCCAACATATCATTCTCCGCCACTTCCACCACCTACAGTCCAATCCCATGACCAAAGATATATTTCCCTCCCCACCCCTATCTGCCTTTGGTAGGGACCGCTGTCTCCGTGAGTCCCTCAACCTTATCCTCATCTGCTCCACACTCCCCACTAACCCCACCACCCCCAGCACCTTTAATTGCAACCGCAGGAAGTGCTACACCTGCCCCCATACTCCCCCTCACCTCAATTCAAGGCACAAAACAAACCTTCAATATCAGACGGGGGTTCACTTGCACATCCGTCAACTTAGTCAACTGCATCCGCTGCTTCCGATGTGGCCTCCTGTACATCGGTGAGTCCAAGTGGAGACTCAGAGACTGTTTTGTAGAGCATCTGCGCTCTGTACATGATAAATGACAACACCTTCCTGTCGCGAACCATTTCGGCTCCCCCTCCCACTCTCTAGGTGACATGTCCATCCTGGGCCTCCTCCAGTGTCACAATGACACCACCCGCAAACTGGAGGAGCAGCACCTCATATTCCACCTCTGGAGCCTACAGCCCAATGGCCTCAACGTGGATTTCACCAGTTTTAAAATCTCCCCACCCCTGGCCTCATCCCATGACCAACCCTCCCTCTCATCCCCGCCTCCTTGACCTGACAACTGGTCCATCTTCTCTCCCACCTATCCACCCCTCCCACCTCACTGACCAATCCCCACCACTGCCTACCTGCACTCACCTATCACCACCCCACCTACCTTCCCCAGCTCCACCCCTCCTCTCCCTTCCCCCTCCCCATTTCTGAAGAAGGGTCCCAACCTGAAACGTCGACTTTCCTACTCCTTTGCTGCTGCCTGGCCTGCTGTGTTCCTCCAGCTGTACACTGTGTTGTATCTGACGCCAGCATCTGCAGTTCTTGCTATCTCTCTGTCTCCTTTAAGATCCTCCATAAAATATACTTACTTGTATCACTGTTTGTTCACCGATCTTAATGTCTCCTGTTTTGTATCAATATCAGTCTTTGTCTCAATATACTGTGAATCACCTTTGTTAAAGGTGCTACATAAGTACAACTTGTTGTTGTTGTGCCTTTCTTCACTGGCAGAATGTTAAATTCCAGCTCCACACATCCTCTTGGCAAATTCCCTTTGACAAGTGTATCAAGTGCATTGTGTGTTGGCTTGAAAGGCGATATTGGTTGTGTACAATTTCCATCCAAATAATGATATGGAAAGGTCAGCATTACAGAAGACAGTCCTCCTTCCAGAATGATATCTTCATTGTGCTGATAAAACAAGTATATCCAGCTACTGCCCGGGCAGAATGCCTTGGAACATTGTCACTGTGTGAAATATGTTTGTTGCAAGTGGGTGGAGGGAATGGGTTTACAATCCAGTACTGGATGTGATTGACACCTTGTGTCTACCACTGATACATCAGAAGTCAGAAGTCAGAAGTGAGAAGTGATGATGAATAAAATGAGAAGAGAAGGGGTGCTCCTGATATTAGACAACAAAAAATGACCTGTCAAATGCCTGGTTCCCTGGGGACTTTACAGAGTGGCTGACATTCCCCGATAAGAGTAGCTCTCGTAATGATCCGTTTTTTTAACAATACAACTCTCATTCTGTTCTGTCGAATGTCTTCCTTCAGTGACAACATTGTAGTTTGCAGAGGTTAAAAAATAGAATTGATTTTTGCCAGAACCAGGAATCCAAACTGGTTTCTGTCTACTTGAAAACTAGCCAGAAAGATTTGAAAAAAGCTCAGTCTCTCCAATTAAGTTGAAATGACGTCCTTTTTCTTGTTGATACACTTTTTGTTCTCCTTTTTGGTCCATTCATTTCACAGAATCATAGAATCCCTACAGCGTGGAAACAGGCCCTTTGGCCCAACCAGTCCACACTGAACCTCAGAGCATCCCATCCAGACCCATCCCTCTATAGACCACCTAATCTATACATCCCTGAACACTACGGACAATTTAGCATGGCCAATCTGCCTAGCCTGCACATCTTTGGACTGTGGGAAGAAACTGGAGCACTCGGAAGAAACCCATCCATACGCTGGGAGAATGTGCAAACTCCACACAGACAGTTGCCGGAGGATGGAATCAAACCCATGTCCCTGGCGTTGTGAGGCAGCAGTGCTAACCACTGTGCCGCCTAGAGACTTGTCTGTGGCTTCTCAATAAAAAATTAACTCACTGGAAACAAGCAGGTTAATTGTAAGTTTAAATAGTAGTGAGCAATCTATGCAAATCTGTCCTTTGAATGAAACATTAAACTGAGACTCCATTCGCTCTTTCAGGTGAATTTGAAGTGCATGAGGTTGCCCCTTGAGCAACCTTTGTAAAGACCTTTTTTTTATTTTTCTGTAGTTTTGACTGAAGTGG